ACCCATAAGAACACCTAATCCAGCCTTGGGAGGTTGGTTAAACTGAGATCTGAGGTAGTGTGATATAGCCCCAAAGATGCTCTGGGTATCAGTTGCCTTTCCCTATACCATCATGAAGCTGTCACAGAGAATCCCACTGTCTCAGAGAGCTGGAACTGCCACCTCCATCATCCTCCTTCCTCTCCCCAAGTAGAAAATAAGAATCCTATAGCTTTGTTAAGTACTGTCGGTGCAGTGCCATGTTGAGGTCTTGGGAAGAGCCTTTTGGAGCCTCTGCTATCCTGAGAAAATATGGTTGTCCATGTAACCCTCAACCAGTCAGTTTCTTAATCTCAAATTTTTTTTTAATCTTCACCCATTGTCTCCTGTCTCTAGTAGTAGCACAAGTCAAAGTTAAGTTGCTTCCATACCCTTTAGGAAGGATCCATAATGCCACCATCATTCTTTTTCCTGAAGTTTGTTCCCCCAACTCAGTCTGTTAATGATTTATGGATATTTCTTGTAGAGTTTAATGTATTGATGCTATATCAAAGTACTTTAACCCATCTATAGGAAAAATCGTTTTTTTAGGTTTATTTTCGTTTGTTTTCCTAATCTTAGTATCTTGGAAAATATCCAATATGATGGAAACATTACAATCGAAAAGGTAACTGGGGAAAAAAACTTCAGGTTTCTTAGTGGAAACAGATGGTAATATAGTCTGAGCTTTAGAGTAGACTCAGTGCTACTGCATCTACATACACAAAGTATTTGAGGGATGACTTAAGTTTCATTTTTCATATCTATTTTGTTAGCTAAATATTGGAGGATACACCTCCATCCAGATTAACAGCCAACTACTATAAAAATGTCTCTTTTTCTTAAAACACATTTGCTGTGAACTGTTTTTTGACTAATTACATTTGGAAGATATTTTATGTCTGTGTTTGGTTTTCTATTCCTTATGTCTTAGCTAATTTTTGGTTAGACACTGACCATTTGAATTTAAATATCCTTCTTTTGGAACATAGGATTTAAAACAAAACAAAACAAAAAATTAAATTAAACTAAAGCATTCTGTTAAAATTTTGGCCTAAACAGGCTTGAGATACTTGTGGAAAAATAAAATCTTAGGATTAATATAGACATTAGGAATTGATACTATGCTTCTTATCATGGTAATACTAGAGGTACTAGAAATAGCCTGGAGTTGGGAGTCAGGTACAGACAGTCGCCCCCAGGTTATGAATGAGATCTGTTCCTAAGCTTGTCTTTAAGTCGAATTTGTGGGTAAGTCGGAACAGGTACATACGGTTTTTATTTAGCGTCCGTTAGTCAAATGTTTGTCTTAGTATATAGTATATATTTTACTTTTCTATGTACATAAAGTACTTGAACACTTCCAGACTGTGCAGTGTTTTCATGAATGTCACAAAGTAGTGCGTTCATTATTACGAACCACTATATTTAACACAAATTTTTAATATAATAGGCTTTATGGCAGTCTGTTCTTGAGTATAAGTTGTACATAAGTCAGATGTTGGTAACCTGGGAACTGCCTGTATTTGGGTTCCCTCAGCTCTGGTTACCTTAGACAAGCCAATTTATTACTCATTGCTACCTTCTTTAGCTGAAAAAGGAGGCAGAGGTTAAACAGACCTGTTTGACAATTCAGTGTTATATTCCTGAGATTTAACATCTAATCTTAGCTATTTGAGGTTAAACTTTGTAAAATGTGGAATTGCTAATATGGGATGCTGGGGAGAGTTGTCAACCCTAATTAGCATTTGTTTTAATAGCTACTTAAAGCTCAGAAGAAGGCCCAGAGAAGGGAGCACATGCTAAAACTTGAGGCTGAGAAGAAAAAACTTCGAACTATACTTCAAGTTCAGTATGTATTGCAGAACTTGACGCAGGAACATGTACAGAAAGACTTCAGAGCGGGCTTGCATGGTGCAGTGTATTTGCCTTCAAAAGAACTTGACTACCTCATTAAATTTTCAAAACTGACCTGCCCTGAAAGAAATGAAAGTCTAAGGTAAGGTAATGAAGACGTTTTTCTGAAATAGAACATGTAACACTTTAGTTGTAATTAAGAAAAGATTAATTTGATTCAACATGGGAAACCTTGGCTGGCCCAGACTCTTGACAGGGTTGATGAACTGTGTAGAAGGAAAGAGAATTTGAATGGTCTCATTTCCGTGCTTTTTTATTACAATACTGGTTTTAAAAGTAATGTCTGATCATTAGGTTTTAACAATATACAGGTATTAACCATAATGTTAATTATGTATATTCCTAAAACGTTTTTTTGGTAAGCATCTCAGAACGTTGGTATTACCTGAGAGTCTTTGCCTTCTTACTGCTGTTGTACTTAAGTAGAGATAAATAAAATTTAACTTGGCTAGTATCATTAAACTTTCCAAGTGAGAATTATTTGGTGTTCCTATTATGCTGTAAATAAAGACTGAGAAATAAGCTAATCATTCAGAGTAAAACCGGCAAATTGGGGCTCTCAAATGAATTTCTTCCCTTGCAGCTATCCATTTGCTGTTTTTGCTTTGATAGATCAGCTAATTAACAGATCTCTGTGCTTTTTTTTGTTAGATACAGGGTGTTCCAACTTTGTGTCTAAGATAGTCATGCTAAAGCAGAGTCCAGTTTCAACTGTTATTAGAAATCAGCCCTGTATCAGGAAGAAGTCTAATAAAACTCTTGGTTACCTATATGTAGCCATATATCTTTTTATTCTCATGTTGATAGTCTACTCCATAATTATTACCTATCTAGTACTTCCTTCACTTTGGTGGGTTCAGGGAATGTAGCTTACTTTAATTTGTGAAATGTAAGCAAAACATGATTTGCAAAGTAAGCTGCTCTCCTTAAGTTAAATGCAGCTCTCAAAATTTCCCTTAGTCTACTCTTTCACCTGGGACATACTCTTGATAACAAATGGTGCGTTGGCAGACTCTTTTTGGTCTATTTAGTAGCTGTATTTGGTAAAAACTTTATTTTAGTTGTTTTGAGAAGAAAAATGCTTACATTTGAAATCCATAAATGGGGAACCAGTCCACTTTTATCAAATTTCAATTTTTTGTTTCCAAAGAATGAAAAGATAAAATTAACATATTTGAATGTCTTAACTGTTAATGAGTTATAATGCATCAGTTGTACTGCTCCATATATACGTGTATATGCATATATACACACATATATGCACTTCTAAAGCTACTTGTTCTGCTGCTGCTTTTCCTTGTCAGTGTTGAAGACCAGATGGAGCAGTCATCCTTGTACTTTTGGGACCTTTTGGAAGGTAGTGAGAAAGCAGTGGTAGGAACGACATGTGAGTTTTCTCTATTCTGGACTTATGCAGTAAAATACTAAACTTTATGTCTAGAAGTTTAGTATGATATTGAGGGCCTAAACTGTGTCAGTCCATCAGAACTTACATGTCTGACAATACTGTATTCATCTGGAGAATAATCTCTTTGTTTAGCTCTGTTAAAAGCAGCTATTGTATAATTGGAGGAGCCCTGGTGGTGCAGTGGTTAAGTGCTTGGCCGCTAACTGAAAGGATTCAAACCCACCAGCCTCTCTGAGGGAAGAAGATTTGGCAGTCTGCTTCTGTAAAGATTTACAGCCTTGGAAGGCTTATGGGGCAGTTCTACTCTGCTCTACAGGGTCCCTATGAGTCAGAATTGACTCGACAGCAATGGGTTGGGTTTATTGTATAATTGTACTCACTAAAATGGTATTTAGGGAGAGTTTTATAAGTGGCAAGTCAGTATGATTTGAGAATAAGACCTAAGTACTAGTGCTGGCTTCAACACTAGCTTGACCATTTTGAGGTTCATTTCCCTGTTCTGTGTAGTAGAAATAGTACCTCTTCTACTTAAGAATCTTCAATCCACACAATGTTAATATCAAGGCTTATCTACCAGATCAGCCTAAGAAAATACGAATGGTTTGACTACATAGACTATTGAAGCATTGTTGTCTAATGATCTGGAGAAAGAGTGCTCTTTTGGCTTCCTAAATAGTGTTTGGGAAAATGACCGAGTACAGATGTCGAACATGAAGTACATAGTTTTTGTGTACTAGCTTAGGATAACGAAAACTCACTAGAAGCTGGTAAACATTTTTGTTACTAGTGATTGCTCCCTTTTTAAAAATATCTAAATATGTATGACTACGTGAATATTTCTCAGTTCATCCGAGTTTAAATCACAATTAAAAATTGATTTCTTGGTTAGAATGCAAAATGGTACTAACAGTTTGGAAAATAGTTTGACTTTTTTTTATAAAATTAAGCATATACTAACTATACAACCAGTTGTACATCTATATCCAAGAGAAGTGAGAACATGTTCACACAAGTACTTGTATATGTATAATGTTCATACCAGCTTTATTCAGAATAACTACACTG